CTCACTTGTCTAAAATTATTCATGAAGTGACGGTTAGCCTACTTGAATTGGACTCACATAAGCCATTTTCCTGTCACTGGGGACATTTCGCTCATCCAGACATTTACAGAACATGATCTTAAGGTGCTGAGCAAGCTCGTTGCACTACTGTCTTACCACACTGGAATGCACCATGTCAGGGCCAGGGCTCTTGTGAACTTTTATCTTTGACAATTTAACTCTTAAAGCCTCTTCTGAGAATATAATGTAGTTCAGCGTTGTGTCAAGCTGTCTTTCCTCAAACGCAGGAACATTGTTCGCATCTCTCTTGTGAACATCGAACAAACGAATTTGTTAAATGCTTCCCCCTTATCCTGGTCTGAATCTGCGTAACTACCATCTTCAAGCCTCAGATACGATACGATACGCCTACATGCGAAACGGTAGAAAGCCTTTCGGTTTGACTTGACCTCATTTGCATTCTGCCTCTGGAACTCTTTTTCAGCCCTTCTGCACTAGGATTTTGCTTGGTTCCTGAACTTGGTATACATCCTTCTGTCCTGCTCATCGTTTGTCCCAACCCAAATCTCGAATTTCTAAGATTTTTCTTAACTTTGCCAACTGCTGCATAGTTCAGCATATTGTCTGCATTCATATATCTTAGTACAACAGACCAGTGAATACCCCTCATCTCTGCCCTCATCCCGCCGCAGTTGCCCTTGTAGCACTTTAACCTTGGCCTGCTGTTGTCATCAACCAAGTAACAGTTAAATCTGAAGGAGAACGTTACGTTACGGAGACGAACCTTCACCTTGGTGCCACCCTCTCGTCCCCGTCGCCAAACCTCGTGGTGGAGTACGGATCACCACCGATCTGTCAAAACTTAACCAGCAAGTTTCCCGTCCAGCCCACCCTTCACCCACACCCTTTGCAGCTGTTCGAAGTGTGGACCCGAAGGCGAAGTTTTTTACAACTATGGACGCCTTATGTGGTTATTGGCAGATCGAGTTGGCCGAAGAAGACCAGCATTTGACTACATTCATCACACCATTTGGGAGATATCAGTATTGCAGAGGCCCCATGGGATTTGCCGCTACGGGTGATGCATTCTGTCAACGTGGTGACGCGGCCCTTCAAGGAGTCACGAATTGTGTCAAGGTGGTTGATGATATCTTACTCCACGACGAAGACTACTGTGCCCACCTCTCCCGGATATACGAAGTTCTCACCAGATGTCGAAAGTACGGGATTACCCTCAACGCTGACAAGTTTGTAGTCGCCGCTCCATCAGTGAACTTCTGTGGGTACACTCTCTCAGCATCAGGCATCGCAGCTGACCCGGAGAAAGTAAGTGGAATCAGGGATTTTCCAACCCCTGCCAACCTGACAGACCTCCGTTCTTTTTTGGGTCTGGTCAATCAGCTAGCTGAATTTACACCTGACATCTCCGCCGCAGCCCAGCCGTTACGCCCCCTGCTGAGCCCCAGGAGGACATTCCTGTGCACCCCAGATCATCAAGAGGCCTTCCAGCGAGTCAAGCAGGCCCTCGTAAGTCCACCTGTCCTCGCCTGTTACGACCCAGCCCTACCCACCGTCCTCCAGACTGACGCCTCCAAACTCTACGGCGTTGGTTACGCCCTTCTGCAGGACCATGGCGGTGGACAACTCCGCTTAATTCAGTGTGGATCCCGGTTCCTGACCGACGCTGAGACCCGATATGCTACGATTGAGCTGGAGATGTTGGCTGTTGTCTGGGCGATGGCGAAGTGCCGCTTCTACCTGATAGGACTTCAGCACTTCACCCTCTTCATGGATCATCGCCCTCTTATACCTATAATCAATCACTACTCTTTGGATGCAGTAGAGAACCCTCACCTTCAACGTCTGAAAGAGAAGCTCTCGCCTTATCTCTTCACGGCTGTGTGGCGTGCGGGTAAGCTGTTGTGCATCCCGGATGCCCTGTCCCGTGCCCCTGTCAGCCGCCCCACCCCAGAGGACGAGATGTTGTGTTTTACAGCTGCTGCATCCCTCAAGTCAGTAGTTTCATTGAAGGCCGTCTTCACATCAGAAGAGTCTACAGCACCGGATGCAGACAAGACCCTTGAAGATCTTCGCACCGCAGCCCGGGCCGACCCTTCCTACATCCGGCTCGTCGACTGTGTGTCCCAGGGATTTCCATCTAACTGATACGACCTTCATGAATCGCTACTCCCGTACTGGAAAATACGCGAGGACCTCTATTGTGACGGAGACCTCGTCTTGTGTGGCCCACGAGTAGTCATTCCTGCTGCCCTACGCCGCCGTACCTAGACCCGCCTTCACGACAGCCACCGAGGAGTGGAGGCCACCAAGCGACGGGCGAAGCAGACTGTATTTTGGCCCGGAATCGACGTGGACATTGCAAGTACCGTCCTTGCCTGTGAACCATGCCAGATTCTGCAACCTAGCCAGCAACAGGAACCTTTAATGTGCGACGACAACCCTTCAAGACCCTTCGAGTCTGTGTCGGCCGATTTCTTTGCAGTTGCAGGGAAGTCCTTCCTCGTCATTGCCGACCGACTGTCTGGATGGCCTGTTGTCGTCCCCTGTGGTAGTGATACAACGGCTACTGCTACCATCCGGAACTTCAGGCATTACTTCAGAGAAGTTGGTGTTCCCCTCCACCTCAGGACTGATGGAGGACCCCAGTTCACCAGCCACGAGTTCCGGGACTTCATGGACCGTTGGGGAGTCCGTCATGTCGTGACCTCGCCCCACTACCCCCAGGCGAATGGACACGCTGAAGCCGCAGTCAAGACTGTGAAACACCTGATCCTTAAGGTGTCACCCTCAGGAAATATCGACTGCGAGGACTTCGATCGAGGTTTGTTGGAGTTACGCAACACCCCGAACTTCACCGGACGCTCCCCAGCCCAGGTTCTATACGGACATCATCTCAGGTCTTGTGTTCCTGCCCACCCGCAGTCTTTTTCTCAAGAGTGGCAGGCCAAGACTGAGGAATGTGACCGCCGTGCAGCAGAACGAGCCGCAGATGTCGCTGCTCGGTACGACTATCATGCCCGCCCCCTTCCCAGGTTGAGTATCGGCCAGCAGATCAGGATTCAAGATCCGGTATCTCACCGCTGGGACAAGGTTGGGGTTGTTATGGGTATTGGCCGGTCCAGGGACTACCAAGTGCGTCTTCCTAGTGGTAGAGTATGGTGGAGGAACCGTCGTTTCCTCCGACCTGTGGAGCTGCCTAGTGTTGACCCCTCCCCAGTTGAGTCCCCTAATGTTGATGTCTCTAAAGTAAATCCATCCCCACCTTGTGTTTCTGCCCCAGTACTCCGCAGGTCCGAGCGACTCAGAAACAAAAGGTCCGCTCAAGATGAAACTATGAGCGTATAGGGGGGAGGGAGGTGTATGATATATATGGACACAAAGTAGTACCTTCAGCTGTGTATTATTATATTACTCCTATATTACTCCATTAATTATGTATAGTAAAGTATTACAGAACATGTATTCATTCTATGTAATATTCCCATTTATTGTGCACCATATTATGTATATAAATTATCATATTTATACTTTATGTATTCAGCTTGTGAATGCTGGCATCTGTACATCCCAGCGCGCAGTAATACATAGAGAGAGTGAAGACAGAGTCTTCGTGGTGTGGAAACGCGAGCTCCTGGGTCCTGCTGTATATATATCTCCCGTACGAGAATAGAACCTACTTTTAAGACAAGTGTTTGTGTATACCCTCAGTAGTATAGAACATTTTGTGGGTATCCGTGACACACGTCAGACAAACTAAAGTATTTTATTCCCAGAACAGAAACTTATGGCAGACACTCGTAACACAGGATCACTGAGGGAACTTAAGAGTAGGTAAGAATTTTATGTCACTGTAGGATTTAGTGTTGGCTTAGCAATTCTCCTGGCAACATATCGTAAGTTTTCGGGTAAGGCAAGGAATTAACTCAACCAGTCGCCAAATGAATTAGTAAAGGAAAAGTATATCATAAAACTGTTAAGTGCACATAAAGTCCTTTCAGGTCTGTTGTGTGATAGGATTACTTATACAAGTTGTTACGCCGTCTCTCTAAATTTACTTTCATATCCAGGTTCTAGGCATAACCAAACCAAAAATAGTGAAGTAAATCAAAAGGGGATAAAAATAAATAAACTAAACCTTTAAGAATTTAATTAAATTAAATACTAACACAATAAAGAGCCTCGTAGGCTGTCACAACAGATTGATTCACTATCGAAACTTTTAAGTCACAAATGCTACTAAAACATCGAAACATCAAAGAACTGCTTAAACATATAGAATAAAAATAAAGCACTGGATTACGTTAACACTGCATAAACACATAAAATAACTAACACTGAAATTAACTATCATGAAACAACACTGAATTACTTAAATGTAACTAAGCAAGCACTAATGGACACATAAGAGACATGAATAGGTACTCACATAGATATACCACATTGGTGGCGACAGGAACAACACAGAAATAAAATACAGTATATGTAACAGGTGACGGGTGTCACTCAAAAGAACGTGGACTGAATGACAGGACTGGACTGAACTCCGTCTGCTGGTGGGTACTATTTATAGGGTCGGTTCCTGCCAGTGCGACACGCAGGTGAAACATGGGTCGTTTAACGATGCAGATGGTCGTTAGAGAAACAAAGAATGCTTGTTATAATACTAAATGAAGAAATAAGATGGGCTTGAACAAATAATAACAGTTAAAACCTTAACAGCACAGGGTAAGGTGATTAGAATATATAATAGTAAATATAACACAACATTACAGGAATAATATGGAACAACATTGAAGCATGTTATAAAAAATGATAGAAAAATACGACACGGTCGTAACAAAGTACAGTATCATCAGTAAAACATTTGCGTTTTACTCAGTTTCAAGGGTAATTACCTGTACATGGTCACCAGTTAACCATTTATATCTTCATAGGTTCTGCTTTTACAACAGGATCAGAGTAACATTTGTCTTACACAGGTTCAAGGGTCACCAGAAGAACTGTACGATCAACTGCTGTTTCTCATCACCCAAGGTGACGACTATAAACAAGGGAGTCATCTGCTGTGTTCAGGAGCGCCTTTAGAGTCTCCGAGTGGCTCATCCACCCAGCCCCTCCCTTTGGCTATTACTTGTAACAGGCGCCAAATGGTAAGCCTCCTGCTGGCAGCTGGGGCACCACTCACTACCACCTGCAACGGTTTCAACCTGCTGACGCTGGCCTGGTTCTCCCCCGACGTCAATACTCCTGTTCAGGTCACCATTACAAGGGTAAGTGAGCAACAGACAGTACACTAGTGTTCAGGTCACTGCCATAAGAGTAATGAGCACCACACACCATAACTTTTGTGTTCAGGTCATTAACATTGAAGTAAATGAAACAATTCACCATTTGATTGATTACTACGAGGGAGACACCATCGGGTTGTACTGAGCAATATATAATTAGCAATGGTGCTGATTTTTAACCATCGAATTCTAGTATAGCAAAATCGAACTACTACATTTAATTCTGTAACTTCTTAAGTATAAAACTCCTGTCACGGCTATGGTGAAATATCATGCTTCGGCGAGCGAGCGCTGCCCCGTATCTTCATACATTACAAAGTCATCGGCTCTGTGGTTCGTCTAAAAGAAAAAATATATATGCCTTTTACACATATAGTATACTTGAAGCGTTATCGACCTTAATCGCTTAAAAGTTCGGAGACATTCTTCCTGTCTTTTTACCAAATATTGTATTACTGCTATATCTGGATGAATATTGTTGCTAGCACTGGTACTATTAATAATAATACCACCTCTTTTATCAATACTAGTACTATTAATAGTAGTCAGACAGTGTTGTGTGCGTGAGTTCTATGATGCGTATATTAGTTTAATTTTCTAATGATTGTGTTTGTTATCTTTTGTACATCAAGAGAGAGGCATTAACCCGCCTTCTGCTGGAAACAATAGGCCGACATAGACGCTCAAGAACATATTTAATGAAAAATTACCACCAGGTGCCCCACACTACCTTACACTGATGGTTTTATTAATAGCTGAAAATGGAGATTTGCAAACAAATAAGGCATGGAGAACCGTAGCTGCTAAATGGCATATTTAATAGGGTAGCACTGAAGGCGCGAGGCAGTGACTGGGGTGAGCCTTAGCTCCTCCAGCGAAGAAGACATTTTAAAGCCACTTCTCCTCATTTTCCCAGCTCATCTCCTCGCCATTTGTTGGTCCATCCTAACATTCTTCCTGATCGGACCCCTGCCGCCTCCGACCTGAATCAACCCGTAGTCGACGTGAAGGCTGACGGAAACATTTTGAGCGTCGTAAGCTTGGGCGGACAGTATTTTTGTCTGGGTTCGCAGTGTCAAACAATTGCTGAGAGATGGGAATCTCTTACAATTGCACTCTCTAGTTCATCAAAGTGACGCACTACATCATTCTTTATCCTAGACCACTAGAAACTGCTCCTTACTCATACGTAAACGCGTAGTTTGGCGGTTCCTGGGTGGGATAACGGACCAGGACGTGAGGCTGCAAATAATTATAGAAAATTGGATGGAGACAGATGAGGTGACGAAGTACTATGAAGAGGTACTGAAAATTGCGGAAAATGCTCTGTCGTCGAAGCAAACGACTAGTGCGACAGATCAAGCAGCGGGCCAGGGGAGTGCAGCAAGGGGTGGTGTCATAGCGTAGGTCATTACTGGACAGCTAGACACTCCACTGAAACGAAGTTGTGGAAAAAGGTGGCGTCAATTCAGTCAGCCGATCGTACCCCCTCCGTGACGGCCCAGGTAGCCCCTTATCGAAAGACCCAGGGCAGGGGATGACAACTGCAAGCGACCACTCGCAACAGGGCGCTACAGTGCTATTACTGTTCTCAGACACATCCTGGTGGTTGGGCCACATGCTACAAAAGGTTGAGAGAAAACCCGTATTGGAAACCGCAAACCCCTGTCAAGGAGGCGGATATTCAATAACGTTCGGCGCACACACTGGTGGTGGACGATCTCAAATGGGTAATGGTAGTGTTGTGAAGCAGAGTACCAACGGAGACAAAGGTCTTCAGAGGTGTGTGGTTGCGATAATGCACACAAACCAGAGGGGGCGTTGCACGGCTCAGCAAGACAAGATTCAGCCGGAACAACTTGATCGACTAATGTAAAGCGTCCCTAATTACAAGCAGATTCGGCTACAGCAGAAACACTTCTGGGCTTTGGTTGACAGTGAAAGTGATTATTCGTTAGTGAATAATGGTGTGTTAAATGGGAAGTGCAGAAATTAACTATTGTTATGTTTTGAGAATGCGTACAGTGTATGTGAAGAAAAGATCCTTTTGCTGGGGGAAGTGTTCCTAGGAGCCGAGTTTGGGGGATTATACATACTCAAACACAGTGTTATTCTGGGGATGTATTTTTGGGCACGTGTTGGTGATTTTATAATAAACTTGAAAAAAAGAACACTGTAAACAGGTCATAGAAAACATTGGTTCCTTTATTGTCAGCTGCATATAAGGAGTAGTCAGCTTCAGAGCCTGTGGGTCAAGTAACGACCGTCATACAATAGCTAGGGTGAAGCACACAGTCATTGTTTCACCCTACAATGAAGCGATGATAAAGTGTAGCGCATCTGACCAGGCACCAGGTGAGCAATACCTGGTAGAATCACTGCGTCCCGAGGGGGCGGCTGTGCTTCCTGCTCGTTGTTGTGCTGTCGGGTCTACTAATGGTTCGTACGGGTGGCCAACGCGAACTACTTCACGAAGGAGATACCAGGTGTGTTGGAACCGGGGATCGATGTACAGCATCTTACCCGAGGACATCGACGGTAATGGACCGCAGGAGGAGACCCTTTAGCTAGTAAAAGATTGGAAGAAGAATTGACAAAGGAGCAAAGGAAGGATATTAAAGTGATCCTCCAGAAATTTAAGGGCATGTTCTATGTTGTGAGAGCCATTGTCATTAGTAAGGGTTGGGCTCCACTCTTTGCATTCGCGGCCGCGGAGACTTTCCCCACGGGCTGAGGCTGAGGTACGTAGAGAGATAGACAAGCTTCGGGAGATGGGTTGCCAAAAAGAGTCCTGTAGCCCTTGGGCGTCACCCATAGTCTGCGCCCGAGGTCAAGATGGATATCTTCGTTTGGCGATAGACTACAAGGGCGTTAACAATGTGTCTCAACCGGCAACACTTCACTCTATTCCCATAATTGAAGATCTTCTTCTCAGTACTTGACGCTATGTCTGGATACCATCAGATGCCCCTGAAAGAGAATGGCAGAGCGGTTTTAGCATTTGTAGTACGTGGGAACACTATGAGTGGGATGGCAGTACACCATTTGGACTGAAGGGCGCTAGATACTTGTTTCAGCGCATGAAGGCCACAATACTAGGGGAAAGCAATTACACTGATGCCCTATGTTACCTGGATGAAGTACTAGTGTGTGGAAGATAAAGGACGCTGGGCTCGCCTTGGCACCAGGAAAATGTGGAATATCTGGGTCGGTGGACAGCAACGGGATGTTGAGTATGAGTGAACAGAGGGTGAGACAATGGCGGTCGATCCCATGACCAACTACAGTGCGTGACCTGAGGAGGGGCAGCGATGCATTTTCTTATTTCCAGTGCTGGTTACCGGAAGCTGCACTGGCTTGAGAGGATGTGTAGATCCTTTGAGGCCCTCAAGACACAGGTAGCAAATGCGGCGGTACTAAACCTTCCGGATTACAAGAAACGCTTTGTACTGGTGACTGATGCAAGTGATCTAGAGACGGGAGCCATGGTAGCGAACGGATCTGCTTGACAGAAAATTACTCCCGATTGCATTCTGTTGGCGGTGGTGGCTGCGGTGAAGAGATTCATGATGTACCTATCAGCCTCCCAGTTCGACATGATCACGGATCATCGCGCCCTCCGCTGGCTCAGCACGCGAGACATCGGTGAGGAGCGGGGCAGGAGGGGGAGGTGGATGGCTCTCATGCAACAATTCGACATCAATCCTATACACACGGTAGATCGCAGTCCGACGATGTTCATGGTGGATTATCTCTCACGGACCGTATCTGATGTTGGACAAATGAGGACTACCTCAGCAGGTGCACTTAACGCTACTACGCATCTCACAAACACTTTCTGGGACATGCCGACCTTGATCAAGGAAGAACAGGAGGACAAGGAGATGACAGCTATGACCAGGTTCCTGGATAGGGAAGCTAAATCCTTTCATTTCCCATCTCAGGTTATCTCAGCACGGCGTACTCTGTTACGTACAGCACGGTGGACGCCATACCCGCTCGTACCCCTACGGCATTAAGGAAACATGGGTTCCCTTTGTACCAGCAATGTTGTGGGATACAGGCCCTGCGGCTGGTGCATGATGCTCCCCTGAGTGGTCACAAGGGACGGACTCATACCTGGGAGAGGGCAAGGAGCAGTTTCTGGTGGCTTGGGATGAAAAATGATGTAGTGACACACATCAGCGTAATTAATGAGAGGAGGAGGGTCTTACCAACTTTTTCCCGAAAGTGACCCAAGTGGACGAGTTAAGTGCGTCACTTTGATGAACTGGAAAGTGTAATTGTAGGACCGTACTCCTGGGATATTCCCATCTCCGAGCAATTGTCTAACCTTGTGAACCCAGACGAAAATGCTGTCCAGGCAAGTTTACGATGCTCAAAACGTTTACGTCAGCCGCCACGTCGACTATAGGTTGATGAACTTGATTCAGGTCGGAGGCGGTACAAATCTGATCAGGAGGAATGTTGGGACGGACCAACAGATGATGAGAAACTAAGCTGTGAAAATGAGGAGAGTGCCTGTGACCAGGACCTCTTCTTTCTCTTTCCTTTGGCGAACCTTTTCTCTCCGCATTACTCAAGTCTGGTGAACGGAAGTGAGGGTCATCACACAGTGTTCTTTCTGACACCACTTGCTCCGGACATCGTGCAAGAACACCATGCACTAGTTCCATCCTCTGAGTTCGCTGGGAAGACAAGAGAACAAATGCCAGTACTCTCGCTGACACCAACTGTAGGAGCATCAAGGCTACCATTATCCATGAACAACTACGTTGGACTGGCCATGTTACCCGCATGGACGACAGTAGATTGCCAAAGCAGCTACTTTACAGTCACCTTATGAATAGTAAACGTAATGCTGGTGGACAACTGAGAAGGCATAAGGATAGTCTTAATGTAGGTATAAATGAATTGGTTATCTGGTATCATCGTGTGTATTTGATTCTTGGGTGCCAAAAAGAGGCATAACAAGATGGGAACTTTTAACCAAGGAAATAAAAATTCTCATTACTGCTTTCCTTAGCTTTTGAAGTCAGGAAAGGACCTGGGATAGCCATGACTAGATGATTTGCTTGGGACAATCAGAGATAGGCTGAGGATAGCCAAGAATATGACGGGGTGCCCGAGGGACAGGATGAAACCAAATATTTCACCATTAACTGTTACCTTTTGTAGTTATGGTTTCATTAGGTTAGGTGAGGTTAAATTATGATACCTTAGGTCATTATGTTGCTTCATTTTAACTTTCTGGCGTTTCTTTCTAAATCTTGCCATTTGTTATCAAGAGGTGAAAAATTTAAAGTTCCACTATTTGCATGATTGCTTTGGCTTATTTATAATATTATATTAAAGTGCCTGATACTTGGATACAGTATAGTTAATTTTCAAAAGTAACTGCCACTCATGATAATAATAGTACGAATAACATTTTTCTTTCCATATTTTATAGATAAAATTTTAGGTACATGAACTTGTAATGGCTTTTATCATACGCAGAAAATTACTAATTTTTGAACACTCACTATGAAGGAGGGGTTATGGAAAAATTATAAAAAGTTGAGTTTACAGTCATTACCAAAATATTAGCCAACATTTCAAAAAGGGTATTCCCTTAAGACCAATGTGAAAAGGTTCCAAATCGACCGCTCACCTGGGAGACGATTACTTCACACCGTAACGCTTGGAGGAGCACAGCACGAGAAGGTGTCAATACTTTCGAGATCGCCCGACTGCATACCGAGGCAGACAAGCGCCAACGCCGGAAAGGCGCTTCCGCCGCCCCTCCCACACTAGATACAGCCCTCCACACGTGCAACATCTGTGGATGACCTTGCCGGTCCTATATCGTCTTATCGAGTCACCTCAGAGCTCACCAACGAAGTGACATCCTAAATATCTCACATCTTTGTGTCATAGCTTGATGATCGTCATACTGGATTACGAGTGACGACAAAGTAGTAGTATGTCTGCTTGCACTAGAGTTTGAACCCAGCCACTTCCTTGCAAGCAGTCACCAAAGGTTTTCAAAACAACTATCTCACAATATGGGAATAGTGTAATTGCGTGGCAGGTTAGTGATGAAAAAGTGGGATTTAGTTTTTTTTATCAGAAACTACTCGGATATTTAATGACCAAATTTGTTTTTCAGATTCTCATTTTAAAGATATCTTTTAGGCTCAAAAAGTTGCCCTAACAATATTTACTCTAAAGTCAATGGTTTCACAGATAGTTCCATATTTATAATTAATTTTATTGTATACTAGGAGTAAACTGTTAAAATTACTAACCTTGAGATAACATAATTATAACATAATCATCTTCACTATCAGAGTCTGTTAAATTTAGTACAGTGTGAGAATTATTATCACAGAGCTCATTGTTTCCTCCACACTCACAGATATCTGTACAAGGTGGGGTTGTTTGCTAAACATTTACACGGTGGACTGTATCTGTTCTTCACACAACTGCAAAATGGAATCTGGCTCACATGGCATTTCACAGAGAACGGGAGCTATTTGTCCATACTCCATGTTCCATCCATGTCCAATGGGTGATGGAACTGTTAGCCTTGATTTATCATCTTGGTTCCAGATCATGACCTGGTAGTTGACTCTCTTCATTGTTAGTACAAAAACACTTCTTGTAGGCGATAACTTTCCCCAGCTCGTCTGTTTCTTAGAAAACATATACCAGCGCAACTGGGCAACTTTAGTTATACTTGGCAAATGAATGCTTCGGTTTATCCATCACCTTTTCAGGAATTTGTTCTTGTGTTCCGAGTGATTTCAGTTCCCAAATGATGACTTTAGTCGTTGTTCTGAATGCTTTGCAGTATGAAATTTTACCTTTTCAAGACAAATTACCTGTGCAATCAGATCCAGACACGGCGTCAAATGTAGACAATGCAGAAGCCTTCAAGGAGCCGAGTGATAGAAGTATCTGCAGTTAAAATAATGTCTTTAGAAGTAAGCACAAAAAAAGACTCATGGGGAAATTTGGGATACCTTCTTATAGCAAGAATCAAAGCATCTATGTCCTGTGCATATATATATAGATTTTTTTAGTTCTTTATGTGACACTGATAACATGAAGAATGATCTTCGTGTCTGCCTCTTCTTGTGTACTACGAAAACAATCCAAAGAACCACGCAAGGCGGCCATTTCTGTACGTCACACCACTGCAGTCGTTTTTGGTCTTTTGTGCACGATGAAGCATTTTTTGAGCTCGGTTCGTTGGATGTGTTAGAAGTCCTGTGATAGAGATTCTCACCCTCCAGTGGAGGGCGACCGGGTCGGTTCCACCGTGACGTCATGGATAAGTGAAGGCGTTTCACTACTGTAGTGCTGGAATTAACGCGTTTCTGATGGCTTCTTCCAGATGGTGGAGGAGAGGTCCGATATCGGGGATAGTGAGCATCAGGTAGTTCCAGCGAAGCTTGACTCCATCAGACAGAGCATGGATTTCCCGCATCCACTCATTTGTTACTGCTGCTGCTGTTGTTATTATTGTACTACTAAATCTACTACGGCCATTATATTCAGCAATTCAACAATGCGCTATATTTCAGAAAAGTGATTAGGTAAAATCTATTTCATACTAGAAATCGTTTCATTATTATACACATACTGTAAACTTCAGAAGACAACATTAATGTTTTGTGTATCTTCAGGCCTTCCTTCATGTGCTGGAGTGTGAACATAACAAGCTGATACACCTTCCAGAAGTTAAAGAAGGTGTTGGTCATCTCATGACCACAATGAGAGGTGACACTCCCTGGCGAGCCAGCTGGCCTGGTGGCGGGTCAGTGGTCCAACTGACAGAGCTCATGGTCGAGGCCGTCCGTTCTGGATGTACTTTGACATGCAGCTTCATCCATGAGGCTGGTGGTCAGTCTTCCCTGTGCACCAAGTCCGGTGTGAGTCCTCTGCACGCAGCGCTGGAGGCTGGCCACTGGAACCTGGCGAGGCAAATGCTCAAGAACATGGGAGGTTGCCTTTATGTAGGTGACTCCGGAGGTCGACTGCCCACAACCATAATGTCTTCACACCTCCGCCAGCAGCTAGAGCAGGTTAGTATTTGTGAGGCTCATAATATACAGTGTCTATGATCAAACCAGCACCAACATTTTGGCTAATTCAGTAAGACTCTAGTATAGATCAGAAATTATTATTCTATATGATATTTGGATACAGAACTCAGGTTCTGAGAACTGAATACTTAAATTATTTTGTTGAAGATTTAACAAGCAACATTAATTTCACTTCACAATTATGACTAACTTTTCATATTATAATTAAATGAGGAAAAGTTTTTTGTTCACCTTGAGTTTGTGAAAAAAAAATAACATATGGATCATTTTCAAATTCCATGTGTTTCATAATTTACTTAAGTTTGTTTTAATGTCTTGATAATTGTCATATTTTCTTTGTTTCATTGCAAGTGTAATTGATTACATCTCACGCGACTGTCTCAACAATATACATTAACCCTCTGAGTGCTATAGACGACTGTAAGGATTGTATTCTGGTTAAATTGTAATATCAGTTTCCTCCAATAGTTCACAACAACGATATTTTTCTTGGCAGAATATTTATAACAAGGAAAGGATCCAGCTGGAGGAGCTACACTTTAAGATGAAAGACAAAGTGGACAAGCAGCAGGTACAGGAGCTTCTCCGCGTTCAGAAGAACCTCTTTACCACTTACTGGGAGAAGAAAACTGGCGCCAGAGGGAACACAGCCACACCCTTATGTCAAGAACCATTCAACAGCTCTCAGGTACTACTCATAGCGTCTCAAGGTGGATTGCTGCAACTGATCTACCTCCTGGTGAAGGTGGGAGGTGTGGGAGTTAATACACAAGTGGATCCTACTAATGGCACGACTGCCATTCACCAAGCTGCCTCTCATGGCAAGTCTGGCAGCGTCCTCCTCCTTCTGAACCTTGGCGCTGACCCGCTGCACGAAGATCTATACAAGCAAACAGCTCCCCATCTGGCAGCCATGTTTGGCCACCAAAAGGCCTATGAGCTGTTTAGAGAGTTCCTTAAACAACAGGAGCCTTCCTGTAGAGCTGGAACTACGCCATCAGATGTCAAAACTAACTTCTCAAACTACTTGAAGATGTATAAAAAATGTGAGTCAAATGAAGCACAAATAGAGAACAACCCAATAGATGCCACAATAAATCTTCTCAAACGTACCAACATAAGAAACTTGGTGAAAAATGCACATAAAGTGGCTGTTGATTACACTACCGGTGAGGCACAAGAAGTAAAGGAAGTCATAACGAAAGAGATGAAGAAAATTACAGACAAAGTTGCAGTTATTGACAGTACGTACACTGGTACACTCACGCTGCTTGGGAGCACTGCAGACTCCACAAGGCTCTATTGTCCTGATGAGTATGATTTTAATCTAACTCTCAAGAGCTTCTCTGATGTCACTGTTAACATTATTAAACAAAGAAAGAAGGATGTCTTGTTAAGCGGCCACAAGTTAAAGATTGAAATTGAAACAAAAAACCCAAGTCTTAAGGGTAATAAATTGATGAGTAACCTGTACGAGCGAGTAAGAGAAACCCTTAAGAGCTATGTACTGCAGGACGACAGACTGAGCCTTGTGCCACCTGGTGTGACCAGGACGCAGGTGGGCCTGGCACTGTCACTGGCTTGGCAAGGGAGTGAATATCCTTTGCTGTTGGTTGACATTGACTTAGTTCCTGTACTATCTGTAACTTGGCCTAAGGAGATAATGAGACCACCCCTCACACCCGACGACTCACAGATGATCCACATCAGTAACACCGGAGATGCAAAATGGCGCGGCAGCTTCGCTGCGACTGAGGTGGAGGTGGTGAAGCGGTTGGATCCTCAGGAACGCCAAGTGTTTCTCACCGGCAAGATTCTCCTTTCTTACATGAAGGCTGATTCCTGGATGCCGAGAGAAGTGAAGAACCAATTTTCTTGGTGGGACTCTCGCTACTGGAGTATCCCTATTCCTGCAGGATTCTGTTTCAAGAATTCCTTCTTGATGCTGCTACAAGAAAAACGAAAGAAGAGAATCCAGTGGAAGGAAGAGAATACAATGACACACGTCATGGAAGTGTTTGAAGTTATGTGTCTGAAGACAGATGATACTAAACATATTGTGCCGGGTAAAGTTCACGCTTACTTCGGTGGAGACTATGAGAAGCCAAAGGTGGGTGAAGGAGCCCCACGTATAATTGACTTTCTCAAAGATTTTCACAAAACTTCGAAAACCTGAAGTTGGTTATTAGGGATTTAAACTTTCCTCAACTGGTGGATCACCATCTGTGAGGATAGAGTTGTCACTGGAATTAAGAGTTTAACTGAATGTAGCAAATCAAAAAAACAATA